TGCAATTGGTCCTGGTTACAAAGGACCAATTTATCATATGATGAGATCCACTTTGTTGTGTGATTTGAAAAAGGAAGTCCAATTATTGGTTAATTCTTATAGGAGTGTATGTGCAAAGACCGGTTGCATTATTATGGATAATGGTTGGCAAGATCAAAGTAATAGGTAGTTAATTAATTTTCTTGTCTATTGTCATAGAGGATTTACTTTTGTGAAATCAATTGATGCCTCTGACGTGGTTAAAGATGCTTTTATGCTTTGCAATTTGTTCAAAGAATTGGTTAAGTTTGTGGGTGCTAGTAATGTTGTGCATTTGGTTACTGATAATGTAGCTAATTATAAAAAGGCTAAAGATTGTTAAATGACATGTATCCTACAATCTTTTGGTCTCCTTGTGCTGCCCATTGCTTAAACTTGATATTGAGTGATATTGGCAAGTTGAATGTTGTTAGTGGCCTTGCAACTAGTGCATCTTTGGTGACCAAATTTATATAAAATCATCCTTTCTTATTAGCTTGGTTAAGAAAAAGGGAAGGATGGACAGAAATCATATGTCCAGGGCCAACACGTTTTGCAATAACATTCATTGCATTGAAAAGTCTTCATGATCATTGTCATAACTCAAATTTTTATTGAAAAATAAAAAATAAAAAAATATGAAAATTTCCCTTTTCTTTGACTAATATGTCTTTATTTTGTTTCAAGTGCTACATGCAAAAAGAAATTGGAAAATTCAAGAAGAGGAAAGAAGGACTCAATTGAAGAAATTAAAAGTTGGAGGGGTGAAGTTCATCAAAATGAATTTTACAAACCCAAACCCAAAACCCATCAAACCCAAACCCAAAACCCATCACTACCCAAACCCAATTACCCAAAAAGCCCAAAATCCCAAAATCCATTTAACCCAAACCCAAAAACAAAAAAAGAACAAAAAAAAAAAAAGAAAAAGAAAAAAGAAAACAAGAGAAAAAGAAAAAAAGGGGAAGGCGTCGGTAACTTTCCCCTTCCCCCATCATTTTTTTTTCATTTTCCTTCTCCCTTCCGAACCAGCCCTGCACCGCGCCTTACCCCCCTATCACCGGACTAGCCATCATCACACCCTCGCACGCCCTGCACCGCGCCCCCTGCTGCCTGCGCCCTTTTGCTGCTGCAGCCGACTCCGCCTCCCTTCTCCTGCACCCCTCGAGCCTACAGCAGCCTGCAGCCCCTTCTCTGCGCCGCCCCTCTTCTGCAACCAGATCCTGCAACTGCAAAGATAGATCTTGCGCCTATGTTGCAGCCAACTGAGGGCAGACCAGCGTCCTTTAGGTCTTCCTTTGATTTTTGTATAAATAAGAGAGGATTGGTGAGTTAAAGAGGGGTTCGGATTTTTCTCCTTCTGCGGTTCCTCTTCCTCTTGTCACTAAAAAAGAGAGAAGCAGAAGACAGAAATCC